CACTTAGCAGCTTTAAGTTCAATTAAAAAAAAACATATTTGTATTTGTAGTATTATTTAAGAAATGTCACATATGATATAATAAAATCATAATTATCTCATTATATTAGCTTTAAAGTTGACAGTTAATGATTTCTATCTAAATCTTATATTGTATAACATTGATCATAAATCATTGATCTAAGATATACCTTCAAGTGAATTCAAACCTCTCACGTTTTTTACTTATGCTTTTTAACCACCACACAGGATGCTATTTAAAATGAAATCCCATCCTGGCCACCCCCCTCAACTACAAATCCCAGAGATCCTTGCCAGGGCCTAATCTGGTCATATGACCAGGCAGCAGGAGCAGGTGGTTCTTGGTCATATGATGTTGTTAGCCAAGGCTGAGGAGCAGCAACATCTGAGCTAAATCACAGCCCACATCACTCCCTACGTTGAAAGGTAAAGCCTCCTTTTCACCTTGTTTTTATGCCTTTAATGGCAGATGCTGCAGCCTCACACAAAGACAGGACGAGCAGAAGGAGAGAAGAGAAGAGGGGAGGGGAGAGGAGAGGAGGAGAGGGGAGGCAGGGTTGAGGGGGATGGGAGGCCATCCGCGATGCCTCTCTGTTGCCTCCTCTAGAAAACAAGGAAGCACAGATGTTTGTAGTGTGTGTACATCTATCTGCTGGAAGCATACTGTGCCTGAGGTTGTGTGTAAGGAGTGTGTGTGTTTGGATTGCCATGTTGTTGGAGATCTGCACAAATCTGATAAAGAAGGGATGGATAGGGGGATGTGTGACAAGCAGTCCCTCTTTTAATATAAGAGCTATCTGTTGTTCTTTAAGCAGGAAGGCAAACATGATTTAATGGTTGATTCCTGTTTCCTATCCTCCTCCATTTCATTAAAGTCTTGGCAATGTGGGCTTATGTTTTTAGAAGCAATATTTCTGATGTAAGTTTAGTATTTTTTTTATGATTTACTAAGGTTTTAAAACTAGGTAGGGCTTTTAATGGATGCATGTGATCAGTGTTGGGGGTAACGCGTTACTGTAATCAGATTACATTTGTCTGTAACGCAGTTATGTAATGCATTACTGTTGATAACGTCAGTAATCACATTACAGTTACGAATCAAAAATTATCTCGTTAATTGCGCTTCTTTGGGAGGACCGAAAACACAAATCAAACGTCCCTTAGTATGCGTGCTTACGCAACGCTCGTTTGANNACCTCACTCACGTCACGTCACGTGACATGTAGACGTGACCATAGTGTGACTTACATCTATATAACAACGCATTTTCTGTTTTTTTTTTATTCCACACAGAAACCAACATACAGGGTTGGGAATGTAATCCCATACAAATACTGGTTGTTAAAAAATGTAGTCAGTAACCTAATCCAAACAGTGCCTGAACTGGACCAAAAAAAAAAAGTGCCAGTACTAATTCAGCACAACCCTAACCCTAAACACAACACAACCCTAACCCTAATTTTGCTGGGGTTTTTTTCCGTTTTAACAAGGATATTTTCAGTGCTGTCTTCTTTCCATTAAGCCATCATGTTTACACAGACACCCAGTTGTTTAGGAGTACCTCACCAGCACTGCTGTGGGTAAGATTTTACAAATACTGAACAACAAAGAACTGAACTTGCTAGGGGAGTCTGGGGTATGCATCAAAGCATCGATGTAGTTATTTTTTATTGTATACTTCTTAGAAAAAATAGTGGTAACATTAATGGAGGGTATGGCCACCGTCAAACATCTTCTTCTAAAGTAACAAAAACACAATGATTCCTATATTCAGGTGATTGTTCACCAATGAAATATACCTATGAATAAATATATTCAATTTCTGCCAACAGATCCTCTTAAATATTACACACTGGACCTTAATTTTTGTTTAGTTTTAGATGGGACCTTGGTACAAAGCAAAAAATTATACATACACTATACTAATGGACTGCCCTGAAATGATTAATAATACAGTTGAGACCTCTTTACAGCATTCTTCAGTGGTATGATTGGAGGACCTCCTTGTTGGCTGCTTGAATAGAGAATGGGTTGATTTCAAGCTTAGCAAACAGCAGCCATGATGGTTGTGAATATACTTGTAGTGAGCAATGAAACAATATCAGCAGCACTGTCAGAGCACAGCACTGTGTGTGCAAAAGGGTCTGTCAGATAGATTGCTGCTGAGAGTGGAGTACTGTATGAATGCTGTGGTCCAACCTTATTCGTCTGCCAACCTGGCTGGCAGACTTCACTCCATGTATCATCCGGGGCATTTTCAGAGGTGAGACCTGGAGTGGCATTGGCAACCCCTTAAATCTGATTGGCCAACCCAAGAGCCACGCCATTATCCTTAACTCTTTCATCCCACACTGCCTTTCAGAGGCTGTAGCTGGCTAGACTGGAGATACTGCTATCATGTGAAACTAGATGATCTAATGCAGTGGTTCCCAACCTTTTTTCTAAAAGGACCCCTTTTCTATCATTGTGTGACGACCCCTGGTGTCAGTGATTTTATGGAGTTTTAATATTGTATTAAAAAGTATTAATTAAAACAAATAAGCAGATTATTTCCTGTTTAGGGAACTTTTTACAATTAATTTTGAACAATCACACATACTAATTAGGCATCGTTTTTTTTTTTTTTTTTTTTTTTTTTTACAAATTCTGTGTTTTCATGTCCCTGACACTTGGCCATTATTCTGTTACTGTTTACTTTACATTTACTTTTACTTTGCCTCATAGAAGTGAACCACATGCTGCGATATAGGCCTACTATGTATATTTCTTATATTTTCTGGCACACCTTAAAATCAAGACAGCTGTGCAATCCACTATGAAGCTTGTGACCCCTATTGGGAGCCATTTTCAAAGGGTTCCCTTGACGTCTGACCTAAAGATATCTGAATGAAAATAGGTTCTATGAGTACTTTCCAAACATGCCCACTTTATGCTAATCCCATGCAGTTTGGGGCAAAAAAACATGCAGTTTTTTGCATGTAGTATAAATGTGTTATTTTTGCTTAGTGTATTTAAATATTTCTACATAATGGGGTCCATAAACAGTACTGGAATTACATAAATTGTGAATGAATGGAAAGCTGAGACACATACTTCATGCCACCCCTGCAAAAGTCAATGCCCCACTTGTGGCCCCTAAAAACGCTGGGAAAGTCTCCTGGGTATCATATAAACGAAAATCTCAGCAAATTAAGGTTGCTCTATTCTTAGTGACAGTGACTCATAACAGATCTTTGTTGACATGGTCATACATGTATCGTGATATTTTAACATAGATTAGGGTCACTTCCTGGATTTCTGCTGCATAGAGAAAAGCACAGAGGAAATGGAATCAACTACTGTTTTCTGAATTTAATGTATGCAGGAGGCCATGTAGTGTATGTAGGTGTACAGTTGTGTGTTGCAAATGACATTCACATCATACAATGTTCCATTAACATATTACATAACATATAAGAGTTAGAAAAGAAGAGTGTAAGCTTATAGCAGTGGTTCCCAACCTTTGCCCTAAAGGGACCCCTTTTTTATCATTGAGTAAACTGCCTGACTCCTGACTAAGTGATATGTTTTATGGATATTTAATATTATATGAACCCAAACAGTTTCTGTAAAACTAGTGATTTTGATTAATTTTGAGCAGATTATTTCCTGTGAATATTAGTTAGTAATAGTTTTAGAAACTGTTTATACAATTCTGTCTGTATTATGTATTTTAAATGTTTTAACAATCATACATACTATCTAAGCAAACAATAGCATTTAGTTTTCACAGAAATATATAAAATGCTGAGACATAGGCCTACTGTGTATATTTTAACACCCCTTAAAATCGTGAAGGCCTTGTGACCCCCAATGAAGCTTTGGCAACCCCAAGTGGAGGTCCCGATGCGAACCACTGGCTTAAAGGACCAGTGTGTAGTGGCATCTGGTGGTGAATTTGCAGATTGCAACCAACTGAATACTGCTCCTGTTCCAAGTGTGTAGGAGGTACTAAGGTAGCTGCGAAAAACATGAAAGGCCCCTTTCTGGAGACAGTGTTTGGTTGTTTGTTCTGGGCTACTGTAGAAACATGGCAGTTCAACATGGTGGGCTTCATAAAAGAGGACCCGCTCCATCTGTAGATGAAAACAGCTTATTCTCAGGTAACAAAAAACAACAATTCTTATTTTCAGGTGATATACACTAATAAAAACAAATCTATCAATATTATATTCCATTTCTGCCAATAGATCCTGCTTAATGTTATACATTGGACCTAATTTTAATTTAGTATAGTTTTACTTTAATATAATCTAAACTCTCTCCATGTTTTCTGGGCATGTCTGAAATTAATTATTTCTCTATGGTGTGTTAGCCAGAGTATGTAACAGGATGTTGAATGGTGGGTGTTTGCTGCATGACTCATCGCTCATCTAGCCAAACTGGACAGCAGTTTTACCACTCATGCTCTTCTTTGGTCTTCCCATTTGATCTTGTAGTTGCAATTTGATTATGTGCTGTTTGTGCTGTCTTTTTCCTCAGTGGTGATTCAGTGGATCACAGTATGAGCGAAGATTTTTATATAGACGAACCATGGTTTTAGAAGTTGGGACCTTGTGGGTGGGGTCATGGGGGACTCTCTAAAACTACACTGTGATGGCATGTTTGTTTGATGTGTAAGAAAAGCCATTTAGAAATCAGTAACAAGTATTACAGTGTACTGGGAGAACTTGCACCAGTCTAACCTTAGGATTCTCCTCATGCTGTAGAATTTATTTCATACCAAATCAAACATGACATTAAAAATATTTGTTAGGGCAAGGAAGATTTTGAGTCAGTGCCATAATAAAACTTGGTGAAGCAGACAGTCCTTCCATTTTGCAGGCTTTTTGTAGTGTTTTTTGTAATTGTAGTGGCTTTTCTAAAATAATTGCTATGCATGTTGAGAAGTTTTAATAAATTCTGCAGTGAACTCAAATTAAAAGTTGCAAAAATAGTTTTTATTTTCTTCATAATAAAAAATTAAAAGCAACTTGTTCCATTGTCAGTTAAATCGCACTGGACCATTGACAGTATATATAATGGACAGAGCTTCTGGGTCCTTCCAATAAATCCAACACGAAAGTGTCTTAAACCTGCATTATATGTAATGGCCAGCAGGAGGCAGATCCATTGGCTGCAATAAAAAAAAACAAAAAAAAAAACATGCAGTCTTATGGAGAGATGAGTCGACTTCTCACTTGATTAATTAGCTCAATAAACAGTTTCCTAATGAGTTTATGGTCTCAATCTCTAGTTTGTATTCTTACATACAAAATGATGTATATTTAGTAAATTATGGTCCATTTAGAGTAAAATAGACCATACAGCAGGGTATGCTTTAGGGTATGGCTACCTTGTGATTGAAGGTAGTTTTCATTGAGTCCGTTCAGCTCAACGCAACCAAA